GCCGGTAACCGGCCTCCAGGAGGCAGTCGAAAGCCAACTCGAGCACGGAATGCTTCAGAAAGTAACGACTCGAGTAGCGATCCTCCACAGCTCCGCCGTGGTCGGGGTCACGACTGTCGTTTAGACTTTCACCGAACACCTCTCGGCAACATGAGCCTTTGCCACAGACGAGGATGCGTGTCAATTTGCGAAATTTAATGTCTGCCAGTCCGTCACGACCGGACGCCAGACTGCCACGATACGTGAGTGTAATTGTGCTGGCCGGGCTGCCTCGAGCCGCCCTTGTGCTGTAACCATGCGGCGAACTGGAGTCAAGCCAGTCGACAAGACCGGCCAGGCCGTAAAACGCCGCCTCTTCACGAAGTCGAGCACGCTCCGTGAAGCCGTCGGGCAGCAGGACACGATGAAAAGGCAGATGAGCTGTTGAACAGACCTGAGCAGTGCTCAAGCGCCAGCTGGGCGATAGACACATCTTAGCCTGTGAGTTGTCATGACAACGGAGTGGAGAAGAGGACGACGAAACACACAATCCGGTGGACGACTGGACGCCTGACTGGTTGGCTTCGAGGCTGACTGTACCATCGACGTCCGCTCCACCTCCGGACGCGACTAGTTCCGCATTGCAGGACATTTCGTCAGTTCTACTTCCGCCGGAGCATGACTGGCGACCGACGAGACCGGAACCGGTGCCTGTGCCAGGAGGACTGGCAGATGCGGCTCGATTCGCCTTTATCTGACGCAGATAGTCGAGGATGTAGCGAAAGAGGAGACCGTCACGGTCAATGAAAACACGACCTTGTCCGTCGCGGGGCAACTGGCAGACGGTTTCGTCGGTGAACCAACTGGCCAAATGGGAGTCGGGATCTTGGAGTAGGCAGTCCCGGCTTGTGGTATAGCCCTGTCCACCGACGTTCAACTCGACGATCTGACATGGGTTCATTCGCGGACAGAGTTGAAGGATGGACGGTTGGAATGAGAGCCACGACTAGTTCCAGTGTCTAACTGGACCCTAGGAGGAAAAGTAAGAACTCATTTCCATGATAAAGTGAAGTATAATAGCTGGTATCACAAAGAAACAGGTCGGTCAGCCCAGCTAGTCATATATATGCATATAAATAAGTGTGTGTATGTGTGTGTGTGTGTGTCTATATGTATATTCGAATAAGGCTTGCATCTACTAATGCCCAGATAAACTTGACTAGAGGAGAAGATGCAGAAATTTGCCAATCTACACAAGTTAAGCTGCCTCCCATCCAGCCAGGGCTGTGATTGGTTGACTTTTAGTCACCAATAGAGAACTGGGTTGTGCGGCGTTATTTGGCCTAGCGTTTGTTTTTAGTGAAGTAGAGAAAGCGAATTTTTTTTTAGAAACGGTTGTCTATTTTTGCATTGACTATTACACAGACGCATACAACGATGTTCATATAATTTATATTCTTTACTCGTCAGTTTAAGGGGCTAATTTGAAAAATGGGGGGACTCC